CCATCACCACAGTGCCCACTCCCCAGTTGAGGGAGGTGAATAAGGGTGCAAACCTTCTCTGCCTCCCAGACTCCTCCTTCCTCAGGGCAACAAAGTTTACACAGGCTAGTCAGTATTTACATTTTCCCCATGTAATAGGAAAGTGTCAGTAAAATGGATAAAACACCCACAGATGGATTGATTGTCTTATTGATTTGACAACTCTAGGGTTTTACTCTTAGGACAGAAAAACTCAAGGAAATACCAACAGATAAATACAAGTTGATTTAAGTGACCAGGAATAACAAAGAGTCACAAAATAACTCCTGAAAGAATATCAAAGCCATGCCTTCTAACTGATGGGACGCTTATTATCTTTAGTATTTAGCACAATTACCAAGACCCATGGGATAAGAGATGAACAAATACCAAAAGCAATTTACAACTGTGACATTACTTTGCAACTGTTTTGATTTTTATGTATAATAAAGTGACACCAATGATAAGAGTCTTCAAGTCAAAATATAAGTATTATTTCTAAGTTCTAGTCACATACAGTTGATACCAAGAACTGTTGGAGAGAAAAGTAAAGGAACTCATCACTGCCCTGGCTGAAGTATAAGTGCCCCGGACACTGGCTGTAACATGACAAGGCATTTTCAGAAATATTTTTTCAGTCAGTAAAGGGCTTGCCACATAAGCAAGGGGACCTGAGTTCAATTCTTAGAATTGGTGTTTTTAAAAAAAAGTGGGCATGATGCCCACATGCTTGTAACCCCAACACCAGGAAGTGAAAGGAAGAGGATGCCTGGAGCTTGCTGACTGGCCAGCCTATCTACTCTACAAGCTTCAAGCCAGTGACAGACACTGTCTCTGAAAATAAGGCATCTGGTTCCCAAGGAATGACACTGAGGTTGACCTCTGACCTCTACAACCAATCACACACACACACACACACACACACACACACACACACACAAATCTTCATTTGAGGACATTCATTTACTCTCCAACACAAACGTATAGGAATCTAGACTACCATGGAAAATGGTCCTACATTTGAGTATGATCTTTAATCTCAAGTTATCTACATACATAAAGAATTTTCATTTCCTTGCCCTGGGTATTTCTGCTAAAGACAAGTCACAGGTCAGTACCCCTGAGGAGAAAGATCAATAACTGACACATCAATTTCCTTACTTTAACCCATCAATCACAATAAGGACCTTCCCTGCAACATAGTAGAAAATGTGAACGGACTGATGAGAAGTCAGCAAGGTTTCTGGAGAATCTTATACACACTAAGTCAAGGATTATACTAACATCCTCTCAGGGCTGATAAAATGACAAGTCAGCTGAAGGAGGTAGGAGAAGGTGACATTTGCCTGTCAAAAGTACACCAAAACTTGGCATGTATTTCATATATCAAAAGGCCATCAACATCTGACACTCTTTTAGCCAACCAATATTTGCTTGCTCGCTACATGATATCTTTATTGTTGTTGTTGTTGTTTTGGTTTTTCAAGACAGGGTTTCTCTATAGCCCTGGCCATCCTGGAACTCACTTTGTAGACCAGACTGGCCTCAAACTCACAGAGATATGCCTGTCCTGGCTTCTCGAGTGCTGGTATTAAGGGCATGTGCCAACACCACCTGGATACTTGATATCTTTAAGCAACACCTTCTTACTTCCTGACTTTAGAGCCATTCCAATAGTTTATCAGTTAAAATTTTATACTTTTAGATATGCTTCACTGAGTCAAAAGTCCTCCTGCCTTTCAACTAGACTGTGTTGTAGTATGTCAACACACATTTGGTCAAAGCAATCACAGTCCAAAATAAAGACCATTCAAGTCCATTCTTCCAACAGAAAATGTAGTTAAATAGTATCTGTGGTCTCAGAGAATTGGGTTAAAAACTATACTGTTTATACATCCCAGTATAGTCTTTTAAAATTAAATTTTAAATGTTATTAAGTAACTATTTTCTCCAGGTTAGAAAGCAAACTCTTTTCCTTTATTTGAATAGTGTGGTACTATTGAATAGATGACACAAAATAGTGAAACACAAGAAAAATATGTTTGACCTTATAATGATTTTGTACAATACATTTACTTTGCTAAACTTATTCTGCTTATTGAATTAGGTTACAGTCCCCATGTACACACTAAATGACAGCAGGAAGCATGGTCTAACAGTACAATTATAAGACAAAATATAATAATAAAAATAGGAGAAGTCCCCAAAGAACACTTAGAAAGCAACTGTAAATTATTATTCATTATAACAGAAAATGGAAAACTCTCATATTAGTGCAGTTATCAAAGGATAAATCAGGTCAAGGGAAAAGCAAATTTATCTTAAAGTGCCCTGGAAACTGTGGGCAGCTCAAAGTGTTTATTCAAGCAGAGACTGAGTTAGAATAAAGAGGATCATCATAATGAACCTAGGGGTTCCAAGACTCTGAATACACCCTTTTTCGTTGTCTTTCTGTGTGCACGTATGAATCCACAGAGGAGTTAATCTAAAAAGATATAAGGGAAATTCTTGAAAATTAAACATAAATGAGATGAGAATCCAGCTCAGGAAAAAACAACAAAAAAAGCAAAAACACAACAAAAAAACCTCTGGCATTTTATATGATTTCATTTTAAGCAAAGGAGCACTCCAATTATTTATTTACCTCCTTATTTATTTTTTAGATCTTTCACACGCAGTGTATATATTTGAAGTACTTTTTGTGGTCCCCACTTCATTATTCTTGTCCTCCACAAATCACCACTTCATAGTTACCGCTAACATATTGAGCTCTTTCTAAGAGCCAGGCAGTGTCCCAAGCCCTATGTGTCATCAAATCCTCACATGAATTTTGTAACGTAAGTATAACTATTATTTATCTCTTGTGGATGAAGAAGCCATGACACACAGCTCCTTTAGCCTGCTTTCCCAGCCAGTGTCTCAAAGGAAGAGGTTGGATGAAGAAGCCATGACACACAGCTCCTTTAGCCTGCTTTCCCAGCCACTGTCTCAAAGGAGACCACACCTTACTCTGAAGAACAAGGAATGTCACCTCACTGGGAAACAGGGCTTTGTGGAGATAATCAAGGATCTTGAGGGGAAGCTTTTATCTTAGATTTTGTGAATGAGCCCTGCCTGAGTTACGGGACATAGAAGAGGAAGAGCTGTAGACAGTCAGGGAATTCTCATGATGGCAGAGGCGGGAACTGGAGAAACATGGGTCCAAGACAAAGGAACAGAAATAATAGAAAACTAGCAAAGGGAAAGATGAATTCTCCCCCATAGAATCCTGGGAACCAGACAGCCCTGCAGACTCTTGGACTTTCAGCCTTTAGAACTCTGGGAGAAGACACTTATGTTATTTAAACCACACAGCAGGTGGCGATTTGTTAAAGCAACCCAAGAAAACCAATGCAACCACCAACTATGCTGCCACAGTCTGGGAAAATTAAGCATCTCTTGGTGACCATCTTTTTTTCCCCCACAATGCAGGGCATGAGGCCAGCACTATGATACTGACTCATATCCACAGCCCACACAACATACCAGAGTGTAACCCACAAGAAGATCAAATCCTGCTTCTCTTTCTGTGTACCATGAAAACAACTTCTGAACCTGACTCCCATATAATTCGAGTTTCTCTGAATTCTGCACATGCCTACAGTCCTTTATTTCTACAGCTCAACATTCACTGTTTCTGCTCTACCTCAAATCGATGGTGGTGCAGCATCTTGCAATTAAAATAACAGGTGCTTGCCTGACACATATTATTCACGTGTTTCACACGTTATTTAAGCAGTGTATAAACTACATGCTTAAAGCCAGGCGTTGGTGGCACACACCTTTAATCCCACCACTTGGGAGGCAGAGGCAGGCAGATCTCTGTGAGTTCGAGGCCAGCCTGGTCTCCAGAGTGAGTGCCAGGATAGGCTCCAAAGCTACACAGAGAAACCCTGTCTTGAAAAACAAAACAAAACAAAAGATACATACTTAAATTATCATAAATAACATGTGATGTGGTAGCACTTGAAAAATGAGATGTGTTCTACTAATACTATTCTGAAAAGCTCCTAAAATTTCAATCTAGGAAGTAATCAAAGTTGTATGTGAATAGGTACTTAGCACATACTTCGAAGTTCTCCAAATACACATTGAGTGCTTCACGTAATCATGACATTCTTGGGGTTGATCGACTGTTATTAAAAATTATTTCTATCTTACTGAATAGTCCCTGTTTGTGCCTCCACATCTCGTCTACCACCCCAATACTGGGTCCTTTTGTTGATGAGAAGAACCATCCAGAATGCCACTCATAATTGATTTAAATTAGATTTGGGGCTTCTTAGCTGATGATGTTTAATGAGATTTTGGATCTCATCCATTGCACTGGATCCCTTTGTCCCTTGCTAGTGAGTAAATTCTCTGGCAGACAGGATGATTGGAGAAGGGGGTTGGGTGTTTATTCCATCTCCTCTATCTATGCCCTTGGGTCATAGCCCCTGGGATGGGTCAATCTGGAGACCTCCACGCCACCCAAATCTATAAGTTTCCAATTGCTTCAAGCTCTTTCTTTTCTTCGAGATTTTGTGGAGATTTTGTTAGTAGCACTATGCCCTCTCATCATGAGATCTTGGTGCTTCTCTTCATCAAATTGTTCTCTCCCCCTCCCACACCTCCATAAACAGCTTCACCAATAAACATTTCAGCTATCCCTTTGGGTACATTTTTTCCTTCCATCAGACTCTCACTGAGACAGCAGTTGAGTGTGCTCCCAACAACATCAACTACTATATGGATGCTTAAACTTTTCCCATAAATAAAATTAATCTGTATTTTGTAAATACATTCATTTCAGAAATTTGCAATTAACTATGCAGATGTGGATCCTTTCTCCCCTAAAAGCAACAAAAATAAAAGATAATAACAGGACGATTTGTTCCTCTTGGACACTTGTACCTAGAATAACTTGGCTTTTATCATTGAATGATTTGGTTCCAAAGTACCTGTCATCACCATCAACGATGCACTCAGGGAAGGCAAGGCTACAGCCAAATAGCAGGATATGTTGATAGCAACTGAGGCGATGGAGGTACGTAAAGAACTTGAGGAACTTCTCCATGTCCATGTTTTTGACAATTGGCAAGATAGGTGCCAGGGTGCTGTGGTAGGGAAGAATCTGACACTGGCTGTGAGTGATGTTCATGCAGGCACCTGGGAAAAGGAGACAGTTACATTTAGAAGTCACATAAGAAATCTATGTTTGCAAATTTATGCATTATGACAGGTTAATGAGTTCGAAATACAGCATATATTTCATATTACAGTGCAACCATAGTAAGGCAACCATGCACATAAGTATATATGGGCATAACAATGAAATCAATTTAGTAGTAATTATGAAGGGAGAGTTGGTGTTTCCTCAGAAAATGTAGAAAACTCTCTCATAGGATCTGCTGCAGGACACTTACCTGGGAAGGACAGAATGTATCAGTGTGCTTAAACACCCATATTTTTTGACACTCCATTGCCACTAACAGGAATTTGTCTCAAGAAAATAATCATGGTTGTGAATGCAGATTTGTATATGTGGACCATACGTAGCTTACTAATTTTCAAAGATGGAAGCCCAAGCCTTCAACAATGGAGATCGGGGTTAAAGTATATGAACAGACAATGGAATATGTAATTCTAGGTATGTGAGATGCTTTGGAAGACTATTCAATCATATGGAATGGTGGGCTAAGTCAGTAAGCAAAAACAGCACTTAGGAAAAATCTGTCTACCTAAATACATACAATGACACGAGGATCTGCCATGCAGACTACAGTATACTTCACAATCATATCAGAGCCTCTAACCTCGTATTTTTTCATAGTCAGTTCTGATAGACAATGTCACATCCATGGCCCAGCCAACTCTTCCACCCCAGGAACTTGTATGCTTAGTTTAACATAAATCTAAATAGTGACAAGAGTTCATGTAATGGGATTTTAGTATACTTTTATTTTTCATTTTATTTTATACCCTTGCATTGGCTTAATAACCATTTCATACTTTTAACTTAAAGTTTGTTGTTGTTCATGCAAGCTATTATTTAAAAACAAACTCACGCTGGGCGTTGGTGGCACACGCCTTTAATCCCAGCACTTGGGAGACAGAGGCAGGCGGATCTCTGTGAGTTCGAGGCCAGCCTGCTCTCCAGAACGAGTGCCAGGATAGGCTCCAAAGCTACACAGAGAACCCCGGTCTTAAAAAACAAAACAACAACAAAAAAAAACTCACAAGCTTCATAAATAGAGTGAAACAACTAACTTTCTTTCAATGGAGGAAAAGAAATAGGAGGAGAAATTCAACAAAATGGGAACATCTCTTTTGGGTCCATATTATTTCCAGAGAAAGGATGTTAATATCCTCTCTGAATGTAAGGCTAACTCCATATCAACAAAACTAGCATTGACAGACAATCCTGACAGTTTAGCATGATGACACAACGGCCCTCTCTATCTGTAACTTGAGATGAATGTACTCTCTACTATAGCGTTGCCCACTCTTTCAGACACAGCTCAGAGTCTACTTTGAAATCCCTGTTTCTCTTCTTCCGAGTACATTTCTTATCTCACTTTTCCAAACTGCTCTTAAAGCTTCCCAGGTTCTATAGGAAGTCCATCCCCCAAATGATCAGACTGTAGCTATTAGACCAAAGAGCCCCATACCCTCAAAAGATTCCATTCTCCATTTTTAGACAGCATTCACTGATCACTGAAATGTGCTGATTTCAATGATACAAGATAAAACATGGTCGCCAAATTCTGAAGGCAGCTGGAAATTGGTGTTTTTTGTATACCAGAACCTTTAGCATAAACATGGCAAAGACATTGAAGCCATAGCACTTTCCTGTACCTCCCTATCTTCAAAATATAAAATGAGAGCAGACTTGCAGAACAAAGGACATTCAAATGGGTAACAGAACATAAATACACACACAGACACACACACACCACAACCTCAGCTCTTTCTCCTCATAATAATTAGGTTCCTTAGGTAAAAGAGTCCTATTCTCAAGAAGTAATGAATTAAGACTAATTTTCCAAAGCACAATTATATCATAAAACTCAAGTCTAACACTACAGCATGGATTTTCTCATTATGACTGAAGAAGCTACAGCTTCCAGAAATATGTAGTTAGAAAGATAATGGATAGACAGACAGACAGATAAATAGGCAGACAAGTGACTTACAGAAACATAGAAGACCAGTAACAGGAGTGAGGATGATATTCAGGCACCCTGGCCTTCAGTACATTTCCTCATTGGTCCCTACATGTCCAAAGCACAGCAAACACTGAAGGACATTAAGGGGCTAGAACTTAATGTATGGTGAATGAGAATGAAAGCTTTAGTGAGGAAGATCCCGTTTTGATGGTAAAAACATGTATAAATTCTAGGTTGGCAGATGGCGCCTAGGAGGGCAGTGCTGGCCGGTATGATGACCACAGACTGCTTTACAATTGCAAGCGACATGGAAAACTGTAAAAGTTAAGATTGGGCAAGAACACTCAACAAACCTAGCAAAGAATCCACCCATGGCCAACAAATAGAAAAAGGAATTCTTTTCTAATACTAACTGCAACTCTTTTATATACAGACAATTGTGTTTATTTCTCATTATCCCTCCTGCCTCAACATTTGGATCAAATATTACTTTTTCCTAGAATGCTCCATTGTCTTTGAAACACGTATTGTATATGTACATATTCTCACCAGCAGAAATTTATTTCCTAAGCCAACAACATGCTGTGTGCCATGAAAAGTCACTTCTCCGTAGGGATGAGGACCAGCCTTTTGAGACTGGGCTCGTTTATAGTTACTATGATATCAAGCTTGATTTTCAGAGGGTGGAGGAAAAGCAGGGGGCACTTTTCTTTCCTGAGAATTTAGCCGTGAATCTCATGGAAATTAGAGGCTGGGATTGACGCATGAGAACACATACAAAATACAGTGGGTAGAATTGGCCTTAGTGTTCCTTATAGACATGGTTATTTGATTATTATACTTCCTCTTGAAGAATGGTTACTTCAAACGCAAAACCGGGGTGGAGAATCTGGAAAAATAGACCCAAAAGAGGAAAACCGTTGCCTGATATAAGGTGTTCCAGGTGAACTGTTGGTTCTTACTGATGCTTTAATTCTAAAACACTGCTTCTAGTTAGAAACGATTCAATGACAGTTGTCAAAATATGCCCTGACTAATAGAAGCTTCCCATTCAAGAGGGTGCTAACTGTGAAGGCACAGTGGACCTGATAGCTATGCTCATGATTTGGGAGTTATAATTTCATAACCCAACATAGTGGTTTTTTAGGTCATATTGGGGTTGTCCCTGATGAGATCTCATTGACTTAGTAGGATTTCAATGCTAGACTTAGAAACTAAAGGTGGGTCTTCCATGGGAGTTTTCCATGTGTTCATTTGCAAAAGTGCTAGAGATTTTGTTTGTTTGTTTGTTTCTGTTTTTGGTTTTTTGAGACAAGGTTTCTCTGTGTTACAGCCCTTGCTGTCCTGGAACTCACTCTGTAGATCAGGCTGGCCTCCAACTCACAAAGATCCTCCTGCCCCTGCCTCTAGAGTGTTGGGATTACAGGCATGTGACACCATTGCCCGTCATAACTGCTGTTTTATCGGGAATTAGGGAGAGTCAGAATTCTTATGTATTTGCTTATTTTAAATGCAAAGGAAGAATAAACGGTTAACTTGTCTAAACTAGCATAGATGATCTAAGGTTCTTAAGTAGCCTTAAGTAAGTAGCCTTAAAATAATGAGCTTCTGGGCTGGAGATATGGCTCAGAGGTTAAGAACCTGGGCTGTTCTTCCCAAATACTGGGGGTTCAATTCCTAGCATCCACATGGTAGCTCCCAACCATCTGTAACTCCAGTTCCAGAGGATCCTACACTTCCTCTGGTCTCCAGAGACACCAGGCATGCAGATGGGGCACAGCTATACATGCACACAAAACACTCATACATATAGGATGAAATAAAGGAATCTAAAAATATTAAGAAAAAATTTTAAATGATGATATTCATAGCATGGCTTGTCTGGGAAAGAAATCTGAGAGTATATGGGAGGGAAAAGTCCAAATTCACTTCCTAGACATCGGCACTTGGTTTTTCTATTTTATCAATATCATTCTTTCTCAATTCAAACCACAAATTGTCTCATTTTCAAACAATGCAATGTAGTAATGGTGTGTTTCATTTTGACTTGCATTTATTTCAACGGTGCCTTCCTTTAAATATTTCTTAAAATTAAATAAAATCTGTCTTTTAAATAAAAGTGAAGAAGTGACAAAAAAACCACAGCAAATATGTAACACTATCACTTGACAAGCAGAAGCTGTCCAAATTAAAAATAATGAAAAATCTGCTTTCTAGAAAATTTTCCTGTCTGATACCTAATATCCTACCAGGAAACCTATGTGAGCTTCCAATTGCCTTGACACAATCCCACATTTAATTAAAGGGCTACTAGTCTTAATTTCATCACATCAGGAAAGAATATTGTATCAGAGATCAATGGTTTGCCCAAAATGCATTTTAAGCCGTGTTTTGCCTCACAGGTCTCCCCTGGCAATGCCCCCTGGATGTGTTTGCCCTGTCTCCAAGGTCTGCAGATCTGTGAGGTCAAGAAGCAAAGCTCTTTGTACACAGTCCTGCTTAGTGGTTTGGGGAGAGAGTCGTAGCAGGATTGGCCTTCTCTCCAAAGTTTCCTTTAGCTCCTCTCATAAAGTCTGTCGTTAATTTTGATGCTACTTCCCGTATTGTCTTCAGTCCTTTGTGTGGTGACATTGTTGTGAACATTCTTGCCTCCACTTTGGTCTGTGTATTTTTGTGCTCAGTATTGACTGAGCCACCACAGTTCTCCCAGCATTGTCCTCTGCCCATCCTCAGGCATTAGTTCATTTGCTCTGCCTACAACTCGTGATCTCCGATTCACAGCTGAGGAAACAAGGGAGCCGTTTCCCCGACAGCCCAGAGGGCTGGCCTCTGACTCGATCTACCTCACTCCAGGCTCCAGCCCCATTCCACCAGCAGCTGTCTCCTAGCCCAAGCATCTTCTCACCTAATTTACATCAATTCTGCAGAGCCCCATGTGCCACAGGTCTGACTTCCACAGGGGTCTCTCTCCCCATGTGACAAACCCCTATTGTACTCCTA